ATCTTATAAAAGATACTGATATCGATAACAGATTTCCTAAGGTTGTCCTGTCAGGGAAGAGTTTAAACTGAACTTTTATTTTTTCGGGCGTGGTGGTGCAGGTAGTGGAAGTCACGTGGAAAGAAGGTGGTGGCAGTAGTTGTGCCGGGTCGGGAATGGACCCGACTGTGTACACGGGTCTGCTGGGGACAGCTTTCACATGCTTGAGATCGTATGAGGTGACGGGCAACCAGCAAGACTTACTCTTGTCCGCTAAGATCGTTGACACGTGCGCGTCTGTCGCACGTGCCTCCACCAGGTTCAGTCTTTACTCTCTTTTTTTTTCTTTCTTTCTTTTACTGGTATTATAAAAGAGATATACTATCATATCATGTGTTAAAAACCTGGATATTTTGAGTGACCGTACAGATTTTTCATGGTGGGAAGAAGCTGAACATATCACTTTCTTGCTTGTTTTACCATGCCTAATGAACAAGTACCCATTTACCCGTTTTTTGGTCTGAAAAATATCTTAGAAGAATCAAAGTAATCTTTTTTGTGGCTAAGGCAAATATCATTTATTAATTTTAATTTAAATTGGTTAGGAGTAGCTGTCGTCCCAACGGCTTTAATGTGATTGCTCAACATCTTTTTATCATCGTACAAAAAAATGGTCCGTCATGATTAATTCGTGGACATTGTGCGACTAAAGAGTACTATGATTAATAATTTACTTTTGACCTTTCTCTTTCCCCTTCCTAAATTTACAAATTGCAGTAAATGTCCAAGGTAAAATCGAGTGATTACATTGTACGAATTAGGTTTCCAAATCTTGGTTGTAGTTGATGCTTAGAAATATGGAAAGATTATAGTGTTTTAAGGGAGGATGGAAAGTCTTCACCAGTCTAAATGAAGAATCTTTTTTTTTTTCTTCCTGAAGTACTATGAAAATGAAGAATATTTAATCTTTAATGTTAAGCTATTGATAAAACCATCTTCTGTATGCAGACACGTGACATTTTTGTGTGGTATAGGAGGGGTGTGTTCACTGGGAGCCGTGGTGGCTAATTACATGGGGGACCGTCAAAGACTTAACTTCTTTCTAAATCAATTCCTTGAGGTATTGTCTTTACCCCATGCTTATCACTTTAAATACATGATGAAAAATCTATGTGCTTCTTCAATTGGTTTAATAATCCGACTTGTCATGAAAAGCCCATGACTGGTTGTCTTAATCACCGCCTAAAATACGAGGAAGAGATACCTACTCGTTAATGACAAAACATTTTACTTTCTTGGCTGTGTGGGGACCTATTGGCCAAGGTCTGTGACTAATATTACCGAGAAGTGGCAGCATAGATAAGAAAATTTTTACTTTTGCCATTGATAAGGTATATGCGGTATTGCTAGTGGGAGTTGGCTTTTCTATTTATAGATATTGAAATTGATCTTTAGTTTTTTATTTCCATTTCTATTATTAGTTTCTGGTCAGATGCTGCCAAAAATGACCATGAAATGTTAGGTACTTGAAAGTAGACAATATCATGACTGTGTGGGATCCATGATTGAGGCATGAAGATTTGCTTCGATTGCATCTAGGGTGGTTCACTCGATTGATATTCACTTGGTCATTGCTCTGCTGGATAGCACTAGCTGCTACACATTATGCAACAGACCTAGTACTGCCATTTCTTGCTATTTGATTGTAAAGGTGTTATTATATCTCTACTTAGATGGCCAGCATTCTTACTATTCCTTTGTTGGAGCTGACCCTAACTGAATTGGACCATAAGATATAACATTTCAATGTTTTTCTCTTTTCCTATTTTACATGTTAAGGAGCCACAAAACTCAAAAGTTTAATCTGTTAATTAAGTGAGCCCCTATTATCATTACAAAGTTCTCATATTCAAAAAAAAATAGTATTTTTTTACCCAAAATTGTATTTTTTGTCGAGAGGTGTCTGCAACATTCATGAAGACATTACTTTATATTGATCAATCCATAGAGATCAATGTATTTCTTAATTGCAATATTAGTTTCATTAAACACTGTGAGGTTCATGGGAAGCATTACGATAATATCTAACTCTAGTATTTCAATTAACAAAATATAGGTAGCACAAGAAAGAGCCCTCCCTGCAGGACCTGAAGAAGGAGGTTTTGGAATGTCATATGATCTTCTTTATGGGCGAGCTGGATTCTTATGGGCTGCTTTGTTCTTAAACAAGCATCTTGGGAAAGAGACGGTGCCCAATGATGTTCTTATGCCAATTATCGATGCCATATTAGCTGGGGGCAGGACAGGGGCTTCTGATCACCCAGCCTGCCCGCTTATGTACAGATGGCATGGGACAAGGTACTGGGGTGCAGCCAATGGTCTTGCGGGAATCTTGCATGTGCTACTGCACTTCCCTCTTTCTGAAAACGACGCTGAGGATGTCAAAGGAACTTTAAGATACATGATGAGTAACAGGTTCCCTCATAGTGGAAATTACCCATCAAGTGAAGGGAACCCAAGGGACAAGCTGGTGCAGTGGTCTCATGGTGCAACTAGCATGGCAATCACTCTAGCCGAGGCATCACAGGTTAGCAACTCTAGTACACTTGATGCAACTTATTTCTGAGGGAAATTTAACATAAATGAGCATGTCATGAATTTATTTAGGTTCAGAGGGTCAAATTTGGTGAGGGTTAACAACTTCCATTATCACATTCAACTTGTGGAAAAAATATGATTAGATTATAACTTTCTCCTTAGTCAGGCCTGTAAACTCATTTGTCACACACACACTGAAAAGGGCAAAACCTTAAATCATATTAGATGTGTACTGCAAGTTTAATCTAGTTCATTTAATAGTACTTGTTCGTTTTGGGTGGTCAAATACACAGAACTAATCAGAAGGGTATTAAGCACTACTAAACAGGGGCCTTAAAAATTAGGACAAGTTTAGAACATGTGTTCTTAACACAGTTCAGCATCAAGCTGTATATAATTGAGTTGACAGAACTTTTGCTTTGTTTGTGAAGGTGTATCCAAGTGAGAGAGAATTCCGTGATGCTGCTATAGAAGCAGGGGAGGTTGTATGGAAGAATGGGTTGGTGAAGAAGGTGGGACTAGCTGATGGTATTGCTGGAAATGCCTATGCTTTCCTTTCCCTTTATCGCCTTACAGGAGAGACCATATATGAAGAAAGGGCAAAGGCGTTTGCAAGCTTCTTGTATCATAATGCACGGAAGCTTGTAAATGTGGGGCATGCCCGTGGAGCTGATCATGCCTACTCCCTTTTCCAAGGACTTGCTGGGACAGCTTGCCTCTGGTTTGATCTGCTTGAACCCCAGAACTCTAAGTTCCCAGGATTTGAGCTCTAAGTGAAGATGAAGGGAGTTCTATCGTTTATGACTAGGAAGGGTAACTCGTAACTTGTATATAAGTGTAGAACTTATTGAGCTACTGTAATGTCAACATACCTTAAATTTATCAATCGAGGGTTTAATGACCGGGGCTGATGCAATTATCAGTTGAGTGAATTGGCGGGAACCTGATGTAATTGAAGTAAAATTTGCCGTCTTAGCATCTATAGTAACATTCCCTGGTAAAGTCAATTATTGTTGGCGAGAGGAAGGTGAACAATGGAATGTTATCCAAAAGCTGCTTGTACTAAACACTTTCCTGTAGTAGCCGAGCTCCCTCGGACTCACGAAAAGCCATGCTTATCTCATTTTATTCTCTGCAAAATTGATTTAGTTGTGAAAATCATATTTGAGAAGAACCTGTGTTGAAATTAAGCATGCATATCGGGTCGGTTCCTGGATGGCAATTTGTCAGTGTCCCAATTACATTGTTGAGCCCCATCTCAAAATCATATTATTTATCTGGGCTCTAATGTTCTAATAAGCAGGCTTAGAGAAAAACAGAAAAAGAATAAAGGAGAAGATCATAGCCTCCATTGTCTCATTGGTGGAAAAAGGAAGAAGATCCTATGATGGATGGAAATAGAGGCAAGAAATAAAATTTAGACTATATTCTTTTACTAGATTCTATTTATTATGTAATTGATTGATACTCTCTCTTAACCTCGTTAATTATGATCAATGCCATACTGTATTTGCACACTAAATTAGCCTGTCTCTTTCCGTTGGCCAGCATCCCTAACAGAATTGACTACGCCCAAAAGCGTAGAACACCTTGTATAACATATAAAATAATGATTAATCAAACTGATGTTGCTAGGTAGCTACAAATATTCATGCATCTAATTAAAGAGCTAATCTCCGACCATTAATATCTTTTTTTAAGATCGGAAACAGCTACAAAAGAACACAATATTCTTGTGTACACGCATGGCCGTGACCACTCCAATTAAGGCTATCAAATCATGCTATCACGCGGTGTCGTTACATTCCATCGACCCTTCGCTCCTAGCAAATCAGTTGAGACCACAATGACATGCAGTTGAGGTGGCCCAGAAGCTGTCAATTCCGAGGGAAGTTGGTGATGCCCGCATTCACCGGACTTTGATTTGGCTGGAACTGGAAAGAAATAATAATTGCCCATTTACCAAATTAATGAAAACAAAGACAAACTATATATATTTCAAAGGAAGTGAGGCAAGCTAACCTACCTTGGCTTATGGAAGTCTGTTCTTTGGCAAGGGTGAGGTTGGTTTTAGAAGGTTCATGCATGTATGCTTGAAAACATGAAAGACTTAAAGATCTGCAATGGATTAGACAGAGCAAGTTACACGTTGTTAATCTGCAACATTTACAGAGACAGCTCGGCATGTCAACAGGAAACATTAGCTCCAAACACGAGTTGGATTAAAGAATTCCTTTTACATCCCCACATTGGAGACATAACGCCTCTAAAAGAAGTGAAGTTAAAAACTTTTTGTCAACCTTCAAGTTCTGGATTTTTTTAGCTTCAACTTGGGCCCAAAGGATTCGTACCAGGACGAACTTAATCTATTATAATTTACATAGTCAAGAATGGGTTTTCCAAGTCATAAGGATTTTATTTTAATGAGATTTTATGTATAGATAAATACTATAATAATCATTTAATATATTAAAACAAACAATTAAAATCTCGGCATATAATTGCAAAATTTTTTAAAAAATCTCACATTAAAATCGAGGATTTAAAATTTTTAAAAGATATTGCTCCAACTTACTATTGAGATAAGATCTTATTAATCATATAAAGATTTTGTTAGTCTAATTTCAATTACAAATAAGTAAAGTTTTAAAAATTAAGCAATCATTATATATTCAAACTATTTAAAAAATGAATCATGTGTTTAGTCGGTAGTTTAAATTGACTATTTAATTATTCCTAAGAAAATACTTAATCATCTTTCAAATCTTTCATTAATCAACTTCAAATGTTGTAGAGCTTTTTTTTTATATATATCTTTTTCAAACAATCAAACAAGCAAGGTTTGTATGATGTCATTTTAGAGCCAAATGGAACAAAATTATTTGAAGGAAAAATAAATTTTTCGATTTATCCCATAAAGGAAAACACGGACGGTTGCCATTAATAAATTTAGGGAGCAATCACACTCAATTATAATTGATACGTACATTGTTTTCTGTGCTATCTTTTTCAATATTTTTTGTTCTTTTCCAAAATGAAAATGTGGCATAAAACTAAAGCTAAAACCAAAACTAAAACTAAACTGACGAAGAAGATGGTAAAATAGACAGTAACAGCCCAATCAAGGTTGGGACCACCCTCCCATTTTTCTCCATCATCCCTCCTCCACCGTCCACGTCATTCCTATGTTCTTCTACCCTTTGTCAACTTATCCTCCTCTCCTCGTAACGTGAAAGAATTTTGTACAATTTCTCTTTTCTAAATTACAGTCCTACTCGCCTCGACTATCAAAACTCATGTACTCGCTGCATAGCAACAGACAGTTTTGTACTTTTTTTTCAAACTCTTTGTAAGAAATTAAAGCCCAAATGACAAAAGAGTGAATTAAATGTTAAATATTTTTTATTGGACGAAAACTTAAAATATATTTTTAAATAAAAAATATAGACATTAATTATTAAATCAAATTTTAGGATGAAATTTTTAATTATAATTAATTACATGGAATGTTAGACTTTTTTGATTGCTGGGATTCTGAAAACTTTTTCTAATTACATATTTAATTGTTTTTTTTAATCTTTTTGATCCTAAATTTTGACCAATAAAAGTGGGTGACGATTTTTTGACACAATACAGAAGGAGCAAGTGAGTAACCTGAAGTAACCTAAACCAGAGGATAACCCAAAATGCAAGCGACGTCGGTGTGCAACTTGTTAGAGTTCTGCTCGAAATTCTAACCTCTAATTATGTGCCACGTGTAATGTCTCCTCCTCTTGTCTCTCTGGCGTTGACACCATTTTGACAGTGTCATTTCATAGCATCGTGGCCTTGGCCTTTGCTATCAGCTATCCCACAAAATCAAAAAGCCTGTTCACCCTCCTTGGCCATGGAAATCATGGAGATTCTCCAACTCTAAACCAAATATAAACAACAGAATATCTGTTGCAACTTCATAACGACAACAAGGAGAAGAAAAACCAACGTAGAAGATTCATATAATTGCTGCCTTTTTTGTATATATATTTTCTGGGAGTTAGCTTTGGTAAATGGAGCGCTATGAGATACTGAAAGATATTGGATCGGGGAACTTTGGTGTTGCTAAGCTGGTTAGGGATAAATGGAGTGGTGAGCTTTATGCTGTCAAGTATATTCAAAGAGGCTCCAAGGTACGTACTAGATTTTTTTTGGCTCCATTTCAGTTGCTCTCCAAGGTTAATGTTCATGAACTTGTATTTGTTGGCTTTGTTTCTTCATGGGCAAATTTGGGTTGTGTCTTTTTTGAGTTTATGGATTGATTTATGAGGATTCTTGGTTATGCAGATTGATGAACATGTTCAAAGGGAGATTATGAACCATAGGTCCTTGAAGCATCCCAATATAATAAGATTCAAGGAGGTAAATATATACTGCTGTCACACCTACCTTTTTTGAGTATTACTATATATTTCCCTGTATGTTGCAGGAGTCCTATGGAAGCATTACTTGCATATAAGTTTTAGAGATCCTTAAAACCAGAGGAGTGAAGTGGTTTTACTTTTCTCCTCAACTATAGAATGAACATCCAGAGAAAATCAGAGTTGTTTTGAGCAGAACAGGCTCTATAATGGATCTCGTTTGTTCTGTTTTAGCTTCTGTTATTTCCTAAAGTTCTTTATTTCCCATATATGGTCCGAGTAGAAGAAAGACAGATAATCTCCAGCTTCAAGAATTTCCCTAGCTTTGCCTGAGTTGCAACCCACATGTCAGAGATGTAGCTTTCAGTTTTGTTTTAGCTTCATTCTGTAAATTATGTAATTAGAACTGTCAAAAAAGAAAAACGGTGATCAGAAGCTCATTCTTCATCAGTTTTTGATTGAAGGTTTACTTGACAAGATTTAAAGTAAGTAGATGTGGGTTTGTGATCTTCAAATATTGGTTTTTTTGTCTGCCTTGGCAACTAAACAGGGCAATTCAATGGTTTCTAGATATGTTTTCTGCAAATCCCAAACAGAAAGCTACCATTTGAATGTTTCCATGCCTTAGAAAAAACAAAAAAGTATAAGATGAAGTGCTCATGTTTATCAATTGCTTGAAGTGGTCAACTTGAAATCGTCTGTCTTGTTTGTTTCGACAGAAAAATTCTATCAAATTACTTGGTAATTCTTCTATTGAGCAGGCCTTCTAAGTGGCTCTTCAGCTTTGTCTTCACCCTTTTTTTTTTTTTTT